CCAGTTTTATCCTATTTTTCAGGTCAGGATGTCGGCCAGGGAGCGTGACGTGACGGAGCATATCGGGTCTTTCAGGATATTTATATATATGTTTTGGGCTGTATAAATATGACTTACGCTTCCGCTTGTCTTTGATGACTTATGATGATGTTTTGATATATTTAGACGAACTTATCATATTTTGACGAACTTTTCAGAAAATACGTTTTCAGTAACCGGACGTTTTTACTAAGTTAAAACAACGGTTTTCTAAAGTTAAGTAACGATTTTTCACGGTAGCACCCCAAATCAGTTTCGCAAAGTAAAAATGTCTTAGTTTTCAAAGACTTTGCGAATAATTGCGCAACTCTGATTTATCTAGTAAGGTGGGGTGTTACACACGTAATGACCTGTTGCCGCCTACGGTAGATCCTTGAGAGCCACTGCCACCATACGTTGGCCTCTCCATCCAAATAGAATGTTGCGTACCTTACTCGATCGTGGCCTTCGGTTTCATTCAATTCGAAATATTGCGCAATTCGGTTGAGCCACGCCTCTGGATCACTACCCGTGAAGATGGACATTACGAACCTTGGCTTATCTGGCTTCGGCCGTTCACGGTAGGTGGATGCCTGCGACCGCTGGTCGAACTCCTCCTCGTGCTCGTAACCCTCTCGTCGCCGGTCCTCGTCATGTTCGCGCGCGCGCCGTCGCTCGCGTCGATCCTCGCGTCGTGGGGATGGTGTACGTTCGGCAGGCTCGGCGTGTTGGCGCGGTTCGCGCCTTGGGGGATCGTCGCGATGATGTGGGGGTTGCTGCTGGAATGTGCGCAAGACCTCTTCTAATCGCTGTTCGAGTCGTGTGACAACGGCGTTGGTGTTGTTTTGACTTTCGTCAAGCGATCCAAGCCTTCCTTCCATAACCTCGCTCATACTTCGCATCTGGTTGTCAAGATTGTCGATCTTATCCTTCATCTCTTTGTTGGCCATGGCTTTTCTTTCTTCTCTCCGCTCTTTACTTTGTGGACTCGTGGTTGAAGATGATGATGATGATGATGATGAACGAAAATATTTTTATTTTTTATTTTATTTTATTTTTTTTTTTTGATAAGGAGGTCGAAAAAACTAAAAGGAAAAGAAAGGGAATGGGGTAGAAGAAAAACACACGATCAACACCTCTCAATGAAAGCACCAATGATGAGGATCGTGTGTTTCGACTGCCGATAAGCCGCTAACCCACGCCTTGAATCGCGATAGTGTTTCTCTAGCCACAACAGCGCCTATTGAAACGAATAAAATTGCAGTAGTATTTTGGTGAAAAGACTAAAGCAAAGTTGGAAGAACAAAGTTCTAGATTTCTATTGACTTCTTGGATGATGAAAAATAACATGGGGTAAGGGCCTTTATATAGGCACAAGATTTGTCTAAGTCTAATCTACCTACGAAAATAATAAAGCAATAAAATATTAGAAATCCTAAACAAGCTAGAAATTATAATGCTAGTTGGAAACTAAATAACTTGGCTTGCACTCCAAGGGATCTCTCTCTCTTCTTCTAGGCCACACGCCAACCGCCCTCGCTC